TTCACACTTGGGTCAACTCAAATTAAGCAAATCTGCCAAACCAACTTAACAAGTAATTTAAAACCTTTTTAAAATTATGGTGCTATTTGTCGTGCTTTGATAATGTGTCTCTTACAGAACTCTTTTTTCAACTTCCTAACTGTGTAACTTGAAACAGAGGGAGCTCTATAACTTAATTATAGCTGGAAATAATGCATTCCAAATATTTCGGTATCTCAAGGAAAAAATGGGATTTTTGGCATCGCAGCGTACGCTCTCCCAAACAAGAAAAAAACGCTCTTGATGCTATGTGCCTCTTCAACCCTAGAAGCTAACAAGTTGACCAAGAAGCTGTGAATTATTCATTAACCATCCCTTCCCTATGTTTTAGTTTTTGCGTGCATATCGTCCACCTTGTGAACAGATGTACGTGTCTTATCGAATCAATCCATCAGTCATTATTCCCGTTACTCAGCGAGGACCTTAAAAACTCAGTGACGTCTTATTTAGAGCAGGCTAGACGGCCTTGCCCTAAGTAAAGTTACTAACCCATTCCCACTGTCATCTTCCGTAAACCCATTAGAGGGGAATGTAAGCTCAACTCCTTTTTAAAATCAACAACAGCTGGCCCCAACGGTCATTTCTCACTATCTGCATCTGAATACAGAACGCGTTTTAACTTAAGAGCCTTTAGTTGCTGGTGGAGATTGAATTCGTTAGCTTTCAGAGGTTCACATACCTACACGTTCTTCCCTTGTGAAACCTAATTTATACATTTCGCTTCATTTGTCTTCTTATCAGAACCGTGGCGGCGACGAATATGAATGAGACTAGCAGCAGATCCCATGCGGTCCTCACTCTTCTCGTCACGCAACGAGAGTCCGACGGCACAACAGATACTGTGGGCGAAAAGGTACGTTTCGATGATGAGTCCTTTGTTGTAAATATTGCAAGTATCGCGGGGCCATCTGCGATAAATACTGGCCTCGCCCATTTTGTGACCGACAACTGGGCCTTGTTACAACCTCTCTTTCGTACAATCCCGGACTTGCAGCAGAAGTCTAACGTGTAATAGCCTCCAATTGACTCATCAAAGCTGCCGTGCTCTATTACTTGAGGAATTCTTTTGATTAGATTCACAGAAGAACCAATAGGAAGCGAGATAGCGGTGCGATGGATAGCTAGATCTGCGTGTGTACGTAATTTTCTGGCAAGGGAAAGGCGCGAGAGGAAAAAAAGCAGCACAGTGATGAATAGCAAAACAGAAGATGAGAGCCGGCGAGGCGTACAAGACGGTCAGAAGCCGTCGGCAAAGGGAAAGTCTTTACCGCAAAGGGGTTAAGGCTAAGCCGGTTTAACCCAAACTACTGCGATCTTCCAGGTCCGGTTCCTTAGAAGAAGATAGAAGTCGTGGAAGC